TCCACTTAGCCTCACAATTGTCCCAGCGCTACTCAGGAATTTGAAAGAGCCAAAAGAAACTTCTGAGCTTTCAGCAAAGAATTACAACTTTATTTTGATCAAAACAGAGAGGGGTTACCTCACCCCTCTTCGTGGTTGGTAGAAGGATGAAGGCAACAACCAGGAAAGATGTCTTCTAGCTTTTATACCTTTTCAGAACAAAAAGATCAGGTCTCTGTATCAGGAGCAAGGTAGCACAGAAAAACAATTCCAAGATGATGACTCATACACAGCAACCCAGATTCCATCCGTAACTCCTTTTCCCCCTCCCCTTACCATGCTCTTTTCATGTAAGCAATCTCCTGTATGTTTAATATGAGACTTTTACTTCTCCAATATACATAAAGCATCCACTCAGGCAATTGGCTACAAAATAATGATTACAAAATAACAAAACAATGATTAATTACATAGTGACACTACAAATATCAATATAAAATGGTTACTATATATATATAATAGCTGCTAGTGTCAAGCTTAAACATACTAAAATCATAAACACAATAAAATCCCTTCAGTATGTAACAATAAGATGGGCAGCATAGAAATTTAATAATAAAAAAGGAGAAACCACCTATCATTCCTTCTTCCTCACTGAGTGAAACCTTTAGAAATATGTGAAATGGAGTCCTTGAATACATAGCCACGTGGACTCTTAACATCCTTCTCAGCAAGGCAGAAACAATACAGAAGTAGAAACTTTAGCCCTCTTTTGCCTCCATTGTACTTATCCTCTACTGTGTAGAGCAATGGCAGAGGGTGAGTTAGAATGGTCTTATTAATGGGAGAAGACTATTGCCTAATTTTACAACTGAGGAGGACTAAAGATTCTAGCCATGCCTTGTAATGAAACCCATTGAATCTATAGGACTTATTGGCCCATCCCACCCATGCCGGCAGAGAAGGCATGCTGCAGGCCCCATCAGCCAGGGTATTCCAGCTGGGGGGGGGGTGTCCAGAAGAAGAGCCTTCTCTGCCATTGTGAGAGCCCTCTAAACTAGAACATCTTACCCCCCACCCCGAAGAGAGCTCAGCTCCAGCCCTCCTGATCTTCTGTAAGAGCTTAAAAGACCTGGCTCTGCCAGTTGGCTTGGGATGCCAATGGAGGGGCTTCATGTTGGGGGTGGTGGATTGATCAACAACAGATGTTCCCCTCTCATTATATTCCCTTTCCCCATCTTTGAAGGTTGATTTTATAGTATTGTATTTATATTAAAATATGTCACTCAGATTCCGGATCTCCTTACTTTGCGCCGCGCCCTCAAGACATGGCTTTTCCAGCAAGCGGGCCTGACCTAGGGAGGATTTTAGGTAGGGATGATTTTAGAAGCAATTTTAATTGGAAACACAGCCGTCAATATTTGGTTTTTAATTCGGTTTTTATTGGGGTTTATATTGTTGTATTTTTGTATTTTTTGTATTTGTGTATAGTATCTGTTTTTTAAATATGCTGTGAACCGCCCTGAGTCCTATGGGAGAAGGGCGGTATATAAATTAAATTTGAATTGAATTTGAATTGAATATTGTTATAAATTATACATTATCTTTTAATATTGTAAGCTGCCCAGAGTTACCGTGTGGCAGGATAGGTGGCTATTTATTTTACAAACAAACAAATAACTTTATAAGTTATGCATCCATTTATTTATATTTGCTGAGCCCAGCATTAGCTTTCCATAGTTTCTCTCTTGCCTTGCCTTTCCTATTCGTGCCTTTTTCTTTATCACTTTTCATCCTAATTAGTATCCCTTCATTCTTTTTCCTTTCTAATGGGGGTACTTCTTATCCTATCCGCATTTTTTCTTCTTCTTACTGTTTCTGTTGGAGGATGTATGAGTGTACTGAGATTATTGCATATGAGTGAGAAAGCTTGTAGGAAGATGAGAGCTCAATTAATTTTATAAATCAGATGGTTTCTTTTGCAAGCATTTGACTTTAATCATACCTATTCAGTTCATTTTAATTGGATTTTGTGTCCTGTTGCCATTTTGGAATGTATCTAAATGTAAAGTTATAAGGAAATATGTCATGTGCTCATATTTAACCTGTCTTTCTTCCTTTTGGATAAATATAGTAGAATCTTTGGGGTTTGTGGTTAGTTAAGAACTAAATGAATGCCAGTCCTGTCCTACTTAGTTGTATTGTTGCATCTTTTGTTTACTCAAAGATAAGCTGAAAGAGAAATTTATGCTAAGCATCTAAAGTACATTTTAGAAACATATAGGAATTATTTTCTATTAAAGTTGCAAATATGTTATTTAAATAAACAAGGACCAAGATATTCCTAATATCCAAGTCATTAATTCACCACAGTTAAATGTAAGAAGACCCAGAGGAAGAGATTCACAAGAGCAATACAATGATATGTAATATAATTTTATTGACTAGTATAAAATACTATCCTTGCAGAAATTTTTAATTTTTCTTCCTGGAACGTTAAGTATTAACATTAAAAAAGTCCTACTTTTCTGGCATATCTTGCTTTTATTATTGTACAGTTCGTGTGGGTATTTTCTAAAGATGTGCAGATTTTTTTCATTTCCTTTTTAATTCCCTCTGTTTGTGAAAGATGAGGGGAGATTAAAAAAAGCAATGTAAATTTTGAATGGGGAGGATTTCTTCTGAATATTCGTTGTGGGAGGACAAGATAGCACCTGCTTTGCTTCCTCTAACATAAGAGAACAAAAGCTTCCATCAGTTTGCACAGACTTCTTGGTTTTCTTCAGAGATTTACCAGTTGACAGGGCAGGTTCGCTTGCTAAACCCCAGAAGGCACCTGATAGGAAGGAAGATTAAGACAGTCCTCACAACTGCCCACGGAAGTACAAAGGTTGTATTTTAAATCAATTATTATCTTTTTATCACCTCCAACAAAGTAAGGAAATTTCCTTTCCTCCCACAATTTAAGATTCTTTATCATCTGCAAAAAGCTGTAAAAAATAATTCCTTCATAGAATTTTTTTTTTAAAAAATGGGCATGATTTGGCCTAGCAATAGTGATTTCTAGCTCTTAATATTATGTCAAATATATGTTCAAATAATAAAGGAACCAAACTGGGTATCAATTTGTGGTTCATTTCTTTTAAAAAAAAAAGATGCATCCAATCATGCATCCATGATTCCGGATCTCCTTACTTTCCGCCGCGCCCTCAAGACATGGCTTTTCCAGCAAGCGGGCCTGACCTAGGGAGGATTTTAGTTAGGGATGATTTTAATATAATTTTAATTACGACACAGCTACTAATATTTGGCTTTTAATTTGGTTTTAGAGGGGTTTTTATTTTGGTATTTATTTATTTTATTTTGGTATTTTATTGTTACTTGTTTTTAATATGCTGTGCACCGCCCTGAGTCCTTCGGGAGAAGGGCGGTATATAAATCAAATTAATAATAATAATAATAATAATAACAAATGTTAACATGTGCCTGAAGTGCTCATTTTCCATAGCAAAGCTGTATGTTTTGTAGGGTTGTGCAGTGCTTCTGATTTGATTCCAAAAGAAAATTTGGAGCACAAAGAGATACAATTATAAGATATATTGGTAACTTTTTTAAAGCAGCTATAACTCTCAGGATTTCTGTGTGTAATCCCAGAAAAAGGCATAGCTAGTTGAACAAACCTCAGAGAGCTGCTAAATTCACATCGCTCCCCTATAAAAGCTGCAAAGCACCTTTTCGTTATTGAATATGCTGATCATCTCTGATATGTTCATCCAGAAAATGTTTAGTTGTTCATAGTACCAGATTGTCAGAAGCTGCTGAGAGCAAAACTGTGCTAACTCAGTGATGAGCTAATAGAATTGTAGTTTGGAATGTCTTCCTGGCAATAAAATCATGACACCTTCTTGTGGCTTAGATTTGATACAGAAAAAAAATATTTATCCATCAAAAAAATTATTTAGCAAATGTCGGCACTGCCTGGGGCTGTTTCCTGATCAGGAATCTGCTTAAGTACAGTCCTTCAGTTCCTGCAGTGGCAAACAACTCTTCTATATTCTCTCAAGATACATACTTCATTCTCCTTTCTCCCTCATAATTATGAAGTCCAGATTATTCAGGACAAAATTGTTCTTTGGGATCGCTGAACTATATATCCACATTATTATGCATTGCTGCAATCTCAAACTTTATGACTGTCAGTTTAGGACTGTTGTCAATAATGAGATTATGTATGCTGATGGTTTTGGTGTAATGATCATAAGAAACACATTGATGTATCAGCAAAAGGCCTATCTTTTCCAGCATTTTGTTCCCACAGTCATCAACTGCATGCTAAGACATGGCCATAAACAGGACATGATTTTGTTCATCAGAAATTGATAACTAAAAACATTATTTCTAACTCTAGGTAATATGCAGAATTCATGAGTAGTAACCACTGAATTAATCATACCCTTTCTTAAACATAAACTATGCATGCTAACCAAATTTATTAGACGGGGACTTCAGAAAAGTTTTCACCTTCCCAGTACCATAATTCAGGGGTCCCCAACTCCCAGGCCGTGGCCATGAGCCATTTGGAACCGGCCCACAGAAGTGGCAGGTGCACACGCATCCCCACTTGCACAAGCAGCTGGCAAGCGTGTGTGTGTGTATGCACACACGCTCCATTTCAGTGAGCGGCATGCATGCATGCCTGCCACTTGAGCAAATGGAGCTGCGCGCGTCCTCTCCCTCACCCCGACAGTTTGCAAAGCCAGAAAGTTTGGGGAACTCTGCCATAATTGAATGTATATGTTTATGTATATGCATTAAAAGTTGTTCTTATCTAAATGATGAGTTGCAGATGGAGAGATAGAGAAATATTCTTTTTGCTGTCTATTTGTGCTGCCAATTTAAGCTTTTTCTCCATGTAATGTAGGCTTGAAAGACTTTTCTTCCTTTATTTTTTTTAGAGTGATCTAATAATTCAAAAGTAATAATATTTTCTACTCTCATCCTGCTTCTATTTTATATAAAAGGTTTTTAATACTTATTGGAGAAAGTCACTGCCAAATAGGAAAGTCAAAAATGCAGCAGAAAGTGAATTCAATAATTGAAAGAGAAGGGATTGATGGAATTACAAAACAATTGAATACAACAGAACAAACACTGCAAATAATAATTGATGGGTTGACTCAGCCAGAAAGTTTTGACATTCGGAAAGGTAAGAGGTTTGAAGATATTGTTCTTTTGCCTTTGATATGTCAGTTTTTGTTTATCATTTTAGTGACATTTTAGTTGGATAGTTACTGTATGTACATTAAGCTGTTTGGGAGGAGACAAGTATTAGACTGCTTTGTGAGGTAGGTAACAAAAATTAGTTTTATCATTAAGAAATTTTATACTTCAAAACCAGAGAAGTATGGTCCTGGTAAAATTCACGATCCCTGGCTATCTGTGTTTGCTCTACTGTTTCATCTGACTTTGAAAGTGAGTTGTAAATCTTTTCCATTATTCCTGCCTAAGTAGTATGGAAAACATGAATCTAGCATTGTTTTCTGAGGATCATTGTGTCTTAAAGGTTAGATGAACCAGAGAGCATATTTTAGGCTTAGATATTTATTGCAAATCTTGTTTATTTGTTTAAACTGGCATTATCCTAAAATTTTCTAAAGACATAGACTTTGATAATGGTAAAATGGTGAAAAGAATGGTAAAATTTGTTTCAGAAAATGGAGTGAGGCTGGTGAGAAGTGATTTATATAACTTTCACCAATAGGTTTCCAGGAGATATATATACACTATTTAGTTATTGGAATCAAATAGCTTTCCTGTCCAACCTACAATTAAGGCAACATATATTATTGATTTTTTTAAATATTTATGTTAATTTTTAATTATTCAATGGCTAAAGTTCTCTGGAAAGTTTACAATAAAGCACATTAAAAATACACTCTGAGTAAAGACATATATGATACAATTGAATAAAAATACAAAATAAAAACACCATATAAAGTTGACAGCAGCATGCTAATTATTTAGAAACTAAAACAATATGAATTAAAGGGCATTTTAAAAGCCTGAGGAAATAGAAAATGTCTTCATATGTCATCAAAATGATGCTGATGTCGGTGCCGGTTGAGCTTCTCTAGGGAAATATATTTAATATAGTATAAGGTTAGGGAATTCCATAAATGGGATGGCACCACAGAAAAAGCTCTCCTCTTTGTAAAGGGCCACTCACTTACTTTAGCGAAGGGACTTTTAGTGAAGGAAATCATTAGATAAACTGAAAATCCAGATGGCTACATATAGGAAAAGATATTACTTCAGATAACCTGGTCCTTAGCTGTTTAAGACTTTAATAGTCAAAGCCAGAACTTTAGCAATAGCACTTAGATTTATATATCAGTCCATAGTCGTATGCAGCACTCTCTGAATGATTTACAAATGTCAGCACATTGCCCCCAACAATCTAAGTCCTCATTTTATTGACTGGATGGAAGACTGAGTCAACCTTGAGCCAATCAGGATCAAACTCCTGGCTGTGGGCAGAGTTAGCCTGCAATACTGCATTCTAACCATTGTGGCTCCTTTGATTGCATCTGGAGACAGATTGACAACTAACATAGATGGGGAAGAGCAGGCATAAACTGTTCAAGCAGCTAGTCCCAGACAGGATTTTTGATGCTGTACTTTGAATTCATTGAAGTTTCCATACTGTTTTCAAAGGCAACCTCATGTACTATGTACTGCAATTATCTAATTCAGAGGTCTGCAACCTTGACAACTTTAAGACTTGTGGACTTCAGCTCCCAGAATTCCTCAGCCAGCAAGTCTTAAAGTTATCAAGGTTGCAGACCACTGATCTAACTGATAATAGTTAAATCCATTTATTTGCAGCTCATATCACAGCTTATTACACATAAGCTTATGACATTTAAATATATATTTCTAAAATACCTCACGAACATGAACTAATAATATAGTCATATTATATATGAAATATATTTTCTTTTTAAATATCCATCTTAAAGCATGCTTTAGTACACTATTATTTAACCACTGAAGTGTTTAGTAAGTATGGGAACGAGTGGATCTCAGACATTCTTTCAGGTCAGTTCATATCCAAATTCCTCAAACATCCCTAGTGAAGTGTTGACTGCTTTGAATAGACTCAAAGAGCTTTCAGGATCAGATTAACATTGACAATAGGATGCAGTGAACTGGACCATACCTTTAATTAAATTGCACTGAAATTAGGAGCAGCTGTAGACTCCGAACAAGTTTTTGCAGTATTGCTCTCAACTGCAATATAGATTATGGCAGTAACAGTTGCCATAGGAAGTCATACAAATAGGTTGCATCAGGCTGTGATGCTTGATAGAAACTCAGCAATTGAAATAAAAATAATTCCGTCATTGAATAGGCTATGGCTAAGTAAATATATTTTTTAAAGAAACAGTGGCAGGCACCCTATCAGAATAGGAGAATTCACAAGAGGAGTAAAGCTCATATTTCAATGCTTTTTTTTCCCCTAGCACAGCAGCAAGGAGTATGGAAGTTTTTCTTTCATTTTTTTTAGAACCCATTGCTGTGCCATTCAACTATTGCTTGAAACAAACGAACATCAATCTATAGGTTATAAAACTGACTTGTTTAAACAATCTATATTTCATATTAATTGTAGTTCAAATGACATTGTTAATGAAACGTGGAAGCAAAAGTTTTTGAACTCGCAGCAGAGAAGCCAGGGGATATATATCTTAGTTTCACTCTAGTTTATATATGTCATGCTAATTTATGAGCCAGTCCACCAACCCTGCTGACTTGTAGATGTATCACATTACAACCCCCATATTCGGCCAGCCTAATATAACAATTGACACTGCTGGTTTGGAGATGGTGGGAATTATAGTCTAACATATCTGGAGGATATGGGCTAGGGAACGGTTGGCTTAATCTAATCCTGCAATTATAACTATATTTCTTCTCTTGTCCCCAACCACTAATACACACAAGAACGCCTCGAAGAATCTGTAAAAATCCTTGGCTACCTGTTACTTATGGATCTTATTTATATCACTCTCAGACCCACTATCTGTGGGGGGGAAATAAGTCTTGAATGCCTTCCAAAAGGGCTGGGATTAAATTAATCCGGGGATGGGAGAGTGTTATGTCAACACTATTGTGGGTTTTATTTATTTATTAAATTTTTATGCTCCCCCATCTCCCTTATAAGGTGAAATTAATCCCAGTAAATTTCAGATCATTACTAACAGATAATACGGTTTGACTGACCATGACTCTTTCAGAACCAGCTGTGACTTGCGAAAGAAAAGGTTTATATTTGAAAAGATGGTTAGATGGACATTATTTTTGAGCTGCCAGCACCAGTGAAAAGAAATAATAGAAATAATAGATGGTAGCAATATATGGTTATACAGCAGAATTTTTAATTATGCAATGAATTGCTCCCCAGCCCAGAGGCACCCTATATTTTGTTTAACAGTCCTCACATTCATTTAATGAATGCATCAGGGAAAGCGGGAGGGGGGGATCATTAAGCAAGGCTTTTTCCCTTTGCTGTTGCAACATGTGATGTTAATGGGCAGACTCATACTTCTCATAAAAATACATTTGGTCGCTGTGAGACAAGTGCTGATCTGATATACCACTTATGTTTTCATAGTTTTAGTGCCATCTAGCATGAAATAAAATTATCCCTCAGAATCTACCCAGCTACTGTACATTAGAAATTAATGGTTATGTTTCACTGGACATAGCATTATAACCATCAGTTCATGATGCTTTTCATTTATGGGAATCCAAACAAATCTATAATAGAAATTGTGAGTCTGAAAAATAAAACTGAGGTCATCTGTAGATTGCCTAAACTGGAATTTAGAAAGTTCTCTTTCCAAAGTTTTACTTTAAAATCATCTTTCTGTTTTTATTTTGATTTTTCCTTTCATACAGATTTTGATCAACCCGATTTCAAAAAAAGCATTGTTTGTCCTGAAGATTTAAGAGTTGGAACTATTCTCACAGGAAGAGTTGAAAACGCTACTCTCTTTGGAGTTTTTGTTGACATTGGAGTGGGTAAAGCAGGACTAATTCCAATTCGTAGCATAACAGAAGACAAACTTTCAAAAGCAAAGAAAAGAAGAAGCCTCGGTCTTGGTCCAGGAGAAAAAGTTGAAGTCAGAGTGCGTGAAATTGATCTTTCACGTTCCAGAATAAGTTTAGAGTTGATACGTGTATTGTGAGCAATTTGTAGACGTTTTTCATAGTAAGGGCTACTATCTCAACCATGATGAGGATAATGTAGTAGAAAAATGAGGAGCAAGTTAGAATCTTCATTCAAATTACAACTAAAAGAGCATGTTGGCTATTGACAAAAAAGTTGTATGAGTTACTGTAGTAATCTAGAGTGCAAAGGCTGTTAACTTAGCTATAATTACTTGTAGTGGTTCTTTAAAACAGTTGTGAAAGTCACTTATTTCTTACATCCAGCCCTTGGCTTCCATGAAACCCACTAAAAGATAGAATACTTTCATAGGCATTTGTGAAACATGTATGTGGTTTAATAAGTGCCTGAAACAAACCATCATTCCTCAAGCAAAGGAAATGACTAAATCCCACTAATCAAAATGTCAAGCTTTAACCTACAATATTTTATCAAGGGTGTACTTGATTTCTAGGTGCTTGTTTTAACTCCCATTTCCATAGTTGTATATTTCAAATTTAACTGTTAAAAAGGTAAAAAAAATATTCAAATGTTTAAGTGAGTATTATGGAACATTGTATCTCCAATTGTAGTTAACAATTTGGTTATGATAGTTCATGTCTTTGACCATTTTCCCTTCCACAATCTTTCATTCCTATTAATGGGAAAAATCATATCAGAAAAAATCCTTGATCAGAAATCTCTCTATGGTAAACTTGTGCCTGGCCTGTATAAAACATTCTCTTCATATAAGGATATCAGAAAAAAATAATTTCTTACTCTTTCCATATCAGCTTAATTTTGTATGAGGAAGGATTTTGTCTGCATGAAGGAACATTCAGCCACCTTATTCCATTACCATAATGTGAAATAATGCAGGCCTGACCCAGTTTTTTTTATAAAATTGTTTAAATTTCAAGGGTAACTTGAGCAATTAACTCCAGCATTACATTATGTGTAAAATTTTATTAGCTTCCATGTAATTATTAACCGTTTTTGTTATAGAGAGAATCTGTCTTTTCCTTTGCAGCCTCGCCTCAGTAGTGGCTCTATGGATCTGTTCCTAAAAATGTTTCTTTAAAAGGTTTTAATTTATGCTTATTTTAGCTTTGCTAGCTTATTCTTTTTAAAAGGGAATAGCAATAATAGAAATCAAGTTTGTTTAGATCCCAAATTACAGGGAATGTTATATCAACCTGGAAAAAACTTTACAGCAGGTGCAGATTTTTTTTTAATATATGTATTGAGTTACACAATACATTGTAATTTTGATAAACGGCATTTTCATTTTAAAAAAATTGACCAATGTTTCCTTGAAAAACATGTTTATTAAAAAATACATTTGCCTGAGTCTTTTTGTCTTAATTATTATTGGACATCAGCACATAGTTACTTTTGTACAAACATTTTTAGAACTAGTTTTGTTAGATAACTACTTTGTGAACTCTGCTGTGGGAACAGTATTACCAACACTGTTTGTTTTTATGATTTATGCTTGTTTCACATTCCTCATTTATGATTAATATAATGAAAACTAAATACTGTTAGACATGTTCAGGGGGCAGGTGATGGAGGAGGAGGAGGAGAAGGAGAAGAAGAAGAAGAAAAAGAAGGAGGAGGAGGAAGAAGAAGAAGAAAAGAAGAAGAAGAAGAAGAAGAAGAAGAAGAAGAAGAAGAAGAAGAAGAAGAAGTAGTAGTAGTAGTAGTAGTAGTAGTAGTAGTAGTAGTAGTAAGTATTATTTTGATGAGATTACTTATGCCCACAGATGGAAATATTCGAGACTACATTACATTGGAGGAATGAAAAGCTGCAGCTGAGAATGCAATTTGCTTAAAAAAAAGATATCTAAACTCTTTGTAATTTATACCAGGCATTGACAAATTTGCATAAAACATGAAAAAATGTGTTGGAGGCTTTATCTAGATGTCTTATTTATTTTAAATTTTGTTATATAACTGATATCTAAACTTTTTCCACTGTTGTAAATGATACAAAAGGTTATCTCACAAAAAGTTCTGATATGATTTGTGAATATAGGCTACTATGAACAATCAGCAAAGACAACTAAAGCTCCTTTGATCTGTAAAATAACTTACACATGGAAGCCAAACCTGGCTTGGAATCAGCTTACCTAAGAAAATACTGAAACCTACCTACAAACCTAAAGGTTTGGAATCAGACTTTCTATTATCCTCAAAGCCATTTCAGTCTTTTCAGTAGCTGCCATAGCTCTCTGGAAGGCCCTTGTTGCTCAGTTGAAGGGCACAACTTTTTGAGGTGGTTGCTTTTTAAAAAAAATCTTGAAAACACCTCTCTTTGGACAGGCTTTTTATTGCTGATCTTCTAAATTCATGTTTAATATTCCTGGTTTTGACTTTTTTAGTTTTTGTAAATGGTGAGATCACAATATTTGAATTGGCAATATTTGAAGTCAATCAATCAATATTTAAAAAATAATGCTTTGGCCAGTTATTAACCAATCTGATGTACAGCCTATCAAATGTGCTGGGCTATACTTAGGATTTTTATCATGGATGGATGGATAGACAGACAGATAGACAGACATAGGCACACAGATAGGCAGACAAATAATTGTTGATCCTGAGAGATTTAGATAGCTGCTAGTTTAATAATCTTAATAACTACTATAAATAGCTCTACAGGAAGCTACTTCCAAAACTGAAAGCAGTATAGTTGAGTGAGTTTACTCTTGTCTATAGACCTTGCTTGCAGGCCTCCTGTGGATACTAAGAATATATTTTATAGGCATAGGTTACCTAGCCCAGCAGGAAGGAAGTGTTCTCTGTGGCAGTATAATTTCTTTGGAGTAATCTCTTCCTCACAGATGTAATACCGGTAATATGCCTTCCTCAAGTCAGCAGAAAACTATGCTAATATAAATTGCACTTCCCTAATGGCTGAATCCTACTCTGCCTTAGTGATGATGTTCTTATATTTTTGATGGATAGCATAATATCAATAACTGATAGATACCCCCTGCTGCATCCCTCCCCACAACATCATTTTCCAGGATGAAAAACAAGAGCCAAATGCTGTCTTTCACAGGGCAGGCTTAGCTGACTCTGGGCAAATTCTGGGACAAAAGTTCCAGCGATTTTTAAATTGCCTGAAAGACACATTATTGGTGTGGAGAACACAGGCATTGCTAATCTGTTAAGCTATTTCTGACTGCAGCTCTAACACTCCTCTAAAAGTGTTGGGCTGTTTATTCAAACACTTGGCCAATCCTCTTCTGGAAAACTACTGAAGACATATATAAAAGAACTTATGTAATGCTGTTTCTGAACTGCCAGATAACCATTACACCAGCAGACAAAATGCCCGTGAAAGGCAGTGGCCAATGATTGATGGTTGGAGGAGGTATGTCCACATCAGCCTAAAGGAACTGGTAGGAATCAGGTAGTTTCCAGTCTCTCCAATATCATCAAAGAGGCATGACAGATCATATGTAGGAAAAAACTTGGGAGGAGAGGGAAAACATTACTTGGAACAATAATTGGAACAGCTAAATAAGATTTTAAGCTGTCAACACAGAGAGATAAGGAGATGCTGAAGGTAACAATTATTTTCCTTATATCTTCCCTCGCAGCTTTTAAATGTTTTTATAAAGAAAAAATTTAATTAATGTAACAATAGGTGCTTTGTATTTTTATTTTGTATTATTTAGTTCATTATGGGTGAATAGGGTTTTGGTGATGGAGGACCTCATTCAAAGTTTCTTGAAGCAGCAAGGGCCAGACTAGACAGTAGGATGATGCCAAGTTTGTCAGCTATGTCCAAATATATGAGTCAGTCTGGGATTGTGCATTTTTTTCCTGGGTTTTTGACAGAATTTGTGGGGGATTTCTTAGAATGTTATGTCAGGTTAAACTTAAAATAGTGGGAAATGGTCAATTTCTCACCAACAAGGATAAGACATAAGTCTCTGCAGCACTTCAGATCTGAAGACAAAAGATGCCTTGGGAGTGTTCACATGGAACCTGGCCTTTATGCATCCTTTTCCTGATATCTCACCGCTGCCCTCCGTAGCTACGGTTTTTCTTTAAGGAAAAATGTACTTGGTTCAAGGAGTGGCAAACAAATGCGTTATGTGCTGTGAAACATCTTTTTCCCTTTGGGTCCAGAATGTTGCTGCACATTCCTAGTAAGGAAGAAAGGGGCTTACAGAACCGAGGAGCTTGGTGTTATGGAAATAGTCTGGAGAAGCACTGCACTTCTCCAAACCTGCAATATGATGCAGGTCTCAGGTTTTCAACAGGTCCCCCTTTATCTGCACATTCACGTGTCTGCATAGATAACATATCCATTGAGATATCGACACAGATAAGGCAAAGCTGCAGAATTAGAAACAGAAGATGAAAACAAGTCCTCAGTGAAAACCAAGCTCTATATGCCAGAACAGAGTATGTGAAATCTTTAGTCCTCCCCAATACTGTCCGGTAAAGGAAATGCATTTCCCTGCTCCCTCCTCAGTTTGGACGTCTGTGGCTTATAGGGGTGGGACAGCTAAGGTGTGAGGACATGCAAAGATAAGCGGGGAACAAGACTCCTGCTTTGGATGGTTGCCACGCAGCTTCTATCATGTCTAGGTTCTGGACCAAAGGGTCTTTTATTGGAACATGATTTCACCCCGCCTGTCTAGGACACATGTTGTGACTATATGGGACAATACATTTAACGCTGTTATTATTACTGTGCTTCTTTCATTCCTTGCATGAGATCATCAGCTGGATGAAGACAAGCTGGCTGGAGCTAAGCTCAGACAATGGGGGGTGGGAGAGAGGAGAGGGAGAATAATGACTATTTTTATGGCCAGTATCATTTTCACTAGACAGCCTCTATGCACTACTCAGTTCCAGCGATTCTACATTCTCAAGATCCTTCTGGATTTGTCTTTGATTCTGCTACCTAATCAGCAACAGCTGCTAAAAGCATTTTCTGATTTTTGTGGCCAAACTGCAGCCTATCCTGGCAAGATGCAGAAGTAGTCACATTGAGGTCTGTCTTTATGATTTCCAGGGCTGTTTAGCAAAAATGTGCCTTCCCTGGGAAGAAAACCATTGAAAGTGAAGAAGCATCACTTTGGCTGCAGCTAATTAGTCCTCTCCTTTACAGGCTTTGATTGGGACTGGCTATGTGGTGCTATTCTATAGAATAATAATTAGAAAATAAACATGCGGATCTGAGCACTCTTCAGTTCTCTGAAAAAAAAAAGTAAAAAGAGACTTGCTAGATCAAACCAAAAAGCTTCTTATTTCTGTATCATGTTTTCAATAATGCCTAGTCAATTCCTTCTAGGAAGCTCAAAGTCAGGTTACAAACACATTATGTTTCCTTAGTAGTTATTCTCCAGCTAATAGGATTTAGACATGTAATGCTGTTGAAAAAAAAATTCCAATTTGAATACTATTTCCACTCTGTCTCACGTTTACTCTTTGAACAGAACAACACTGTCCATTCAGAAGAAGATGATCTCAATTGGTTTGGAGGAACCCTTAAGTTATTCACCCTATATGGAGGGTCAAGAATTAATAAGTGCTGAATGAATAGGATGGAAATCTGTCAGATCCAGCCCAAGAATGACATAGAGCAATCCAGCAAAGTTCAGTTCTTTATTTGCTCACACCATATAGACAGAATTTTGCCAGAATAAACTTATACTACTCTCACCCTAATCGATACATCCTGGGAGATTCTAGGGAGTGGCTGTCCTAAATCTCTTCCTCTGTCTCCTACCAGCTCCAGGCTGTGCTGCCTCTTGTCTCACCTCTCTCCTTGGAATGTGCTCCCTCCCTTGTGCATCACTATAGACCATCACACCTCTTCCCTCTTAGAAACCATCCAATCACATATGCAAAAGTGAGTGACCAGTTGGAGAGAAGGCCACTGAGGTGATTTGGTCAGCGAAGAGAGGATGAATAAAACAAATATATAAAGAGTGATTCTGTCAAGGAGATGTGAAAACTAAGAAAGCTTTGGTTAGATGGAGTTGACGGAATTCTCAGCAGGTGTATTCTCAGGTGTAAAGATATGTAAGAATGACCTTGGGAGATGAGGGAAAGCCAGAGTCAGGGGAATAGTCAAACAAGAGGCAGCTTACAGTAGGCCACAAAAGGATTGTGGGTGTGGCTAATATCTCAGAAGGGATCATCTTTAGTTTCTTGGGTTGTAAATGTGAAGACTTTCAGACTTGCAAGATCAATGTCAGCCTAGTGAGATAGTCTAGACAGGAAGCACAACCAGATGGACTAATGCTACTTTACAGTAAAG